GGAGGGGGACAGGAGGGAGACAGGGGACAGGGGAGGGGACAGATGGGGACAGGAAGGGGACAGGGAGGGGAGAGGAGGCGGACAGGGATGGGGACAGAGATGGGACAGGGGACAGGGATGGGGACAGGGAGGGGACAGGGGAGGGAGAGGATGGGGACAAGGAGGGGAGAGGGATGGGGACAGGATGGGGACAGGAGGGGGACAGGGAGGGGAGAGGGGACGGACAGGGATGGGACAGGGGACAGGGATGGGGACAGGTGAGGGACAGGATGGGGACAGGGATAGGGAGAGGGGTGGGGACAGGGGAGGGAGAGGGATGGGGACAGGATGGGGACAGGGAGGGGAGAGGGGAGGGACAGGGATGGACAGGAGGGGAACGGATGGGGACAGCAGGGGGACAGGAAGGGGAGGGACAGGAGGGGAATGGATGGGGACAAGGAGGGGGACAGGGATGGGAACAGGGAGAGGACAGGGGAGGATGGGGACAGGGACAGGGATGGAGAAGGGAGAGGGATGGGGACAGGATGGGGACAGGGACTGGGAGAGGGCTCAGGTGGTGGGGAGAGGGACAGGGACTGGGGACAGGGACAGGGCTCAGGTGACAGGGACAGGGACTGGGAGAGGGCTCAGGTGACAGGGACAGGGACAGGGCTGAGGTGACAGGGACAGGGCTGAGGTGACAGGGACAGGGACAGGGCTGAGGTGACAGGGACAGGGACAGGGCTCAGGTGACAGGGACAGGGACTAGGAGAGGGCTCAGGTGATGGGGACAGGGACAGGGCTCAGGTGATGGGGACAGGGACGGGGCTGAGGTGACAGGGACAGGGCTCAGGTGACAGGGACAGGGCTGAGGTGACAGGGACAGGGCTCAGGGGACCCGGATGGGGACCAGCCCAGAGCCGGAGCAGCCCCGGGGCGCGGGGAGGGGACAGTGCCGGTGGCACGGGGTGTCCCCGGGTCACACCTCGGTCCAGCTTGCTGTGGCGCTCCAGGAAGGCGAACCAGTGGTGGCCGGTGGCGATGGCGTCCCCCTCGCCGCTGGGGATGTCCTCGCGACACGCCGACTTGAGCTGCTCCAGGTCCTCGGCCGTGATGTTCTGGGCCAGCTCCTCCAGCAGACTGCGGTACTCGGCCATGGCTGGGGACAGGGGACATCGGGGACATTGGGGACATGGGGACATGGCTGGGGACACGGGGACATTGGGGACATGGGGGACATGAGGGACATGGCTGTGGCTGGGGGACAAGGGTGACACATGAGGGACATGGGGGACACAGGACCGGGATGTGGCTGAGGACGGGGGTGACATGAGGGACATGGGCACAGCTGGGGACAGGGGACACGTGGGACATCAGGGACATTAACACTGGGGACATGGGACTGGGAGAGGGGTGACATGAGGGACAGGGGACACTGCCATGGCTGGGGGACACAGGGTGTGAGGGACAGGGGACACTGCCATGTGTGACAGGAGTGACACGGGACAGAGCCACGTGTGACAGGAGTGCTCCTGCTCCCAGCCACAAGTGACAGGGGACAGGGGCTGAGTGTCCCCAGCCTCGATCCCTGGTGTCACGGATGTCCCCAGCCTGTGCCACCAGTGCCAGGTCCAGCCCTGGCCTCTGCCACCTGTGTCACAGATGTCCCCAGCCTCAGCCACAGGTGTCACGAGTGTCCCTGGGCTGTCCCCAGGGCCAGCCTCAGCCTCAGTCCTTGGTGTCACCAGTGTCCCCAGCCTCGATCCCTGGTGTCACAGATGTCCCCAGCCTCAGTCCGTGTCACGACTGTCCCCAGGCTCATGTCCCCAGTGCCAGCCTCAGCCTCAGTCCCTGGTGTCACAGATGTCCCCAGACTCATCCACTGGTGTCACAAGTGTCCCCAAGCTCAGCTGCTCAAGTCACGGCTGTCCCCAGCCTCAGTCCTTGGTGTCACCAGTGTCCCCAGCCTCAGCCACCGGTGTCACAAAGTGTCCCCAGCCTCATCAATTGCTGTCACCAGTGTCCCCAGCCTCAGCCATCCGTGTCACGACTGTCCCCAGGCTCATCCATCCGTGTCACCAGTGTCCCCAGCCTCAGCCATCCGTGTCACGACTGTCCCCAGGCTCATCCATCCGTGTCACCAGTGTCCCCAGCCTCAGCCATCCGTGTCACGACTGTCCCCAGGCTCATCCATCCGTGTCACCAGTGTCCCCAGCCTCAGCCACCGGTGTCACGACTGTCCCCAGCCCGGTCCCCGCTGTCACCGCTCCGTCCCGGTGCCAGCCCAGCCCCCGGCCGTGACTCATGTGACGCTCACGGGATGTGACAGTGACAGTGACAGTGACAGTGACAGGGACAGGGACCGGCGGCGGCTGCTCCGCGTCCCCTCCCCAGCGCGGGGGGGCTCGCAGTGACCCCCCCGAGACCCCCCCCCCTTGGCACTGCCACTGTCACCCCCCCTTGGCATTGCCACTGTCACCCCCCCTTGCACGCCCCTCCCCAAATTCCCACTGACCCCCCCTTGCCCCCCCCCCCCCGTGGGGGGGGGGGGTTGAATGCGAGGCACGGCCCGGACCCACGGACACGGCCCGGACCCACGGACACGGGCCGGACTCACGGACACGGACCGGACCCACGGACACCGCCCGGACCCACGGACACGGCCCCACTGTCCGATCCCGGCCCCACGGACACGGCCCGGACCCCCCCGTGCCCCGCCCTGCCCCACGGCCACCGTGTCGCGGGGGTCCCACGCGTGTCGCGGGGGTCCCGCCCTGCCCCGGCGGCCGCAGCATCCCCGGGCACATCTGGGGCACAGCTGGGCGCGATCCTTCCCCCGCCCCGCCCCAATCGTGCCTCAGTTTCCCCACGCGTGGCACGGGGCACGGGTGGGGCGGGGGGCGATGAGTCCCGGGCCCCCCGCCCCGCTCCCGCCGCCGCCGCCCCCCGGTCCCTCCCGCGGGCCCCCGCCCGTCCCGGAGATGCGGAAGCGGCGCCTCCCGCGGCCCAGTTTGGGACCAGTTCGGCCCCAGTTTGGCCCCAGTTTGGCCCCGCCGGCGGCGCGTGACCGCCTCGCGCGCCCCCTCCCCACGCGCGGGACCCCCCCCCAAACACAGAGATGTCCCCAAACCCGTTTTTTTGGGGGGCAGACGGGGGGGTGTCACCCCGTCCCGGGGGATGCGGTGGCAGCGCCGGTACCGGGCGGTACCGGGAGCACCGGGGGGCACGGCGGGGACGGGACGGGAGCGCGCGGGGACCCGGTGACACCCGCGGGGGGGGTTGGATCTGGTAATGGGATCCCATATTGGGATCTACTAACAGGATCCCATACTGGGGTCTGGTAATGGGATTCCAAACTGGGATCTGGTATTGGGATCTCATACTGGGATCTGGTGTTGGATCTGGTAATGGGATCCCATATTTGGATCTGGTAATGGGATCCCATACTGGGGTCTGGTAATGGGATTCCAAACTGGGATCTGGTATTGGGATCTCATACTGGGATCTGGTGTTGGATCTGGTAATGGGATCCCATATTGGGATCTACTAACAGGATCCCATACTGGGGTCTGGTAATGGGATCTGGTAATGGGATCCACTCTGGGATCTGCTAATGGGATCTCATACTGGGATCTGGCAATGGGATGCCAAACTGGGACTGGGAAAAGGGATCCACTCTGGGATCTGCTAATGGGATCCACTCTGGGATCTGCTGTTGGGGTCTGGTAATGGGATCTGGCATTGGGATCTCATACTGGGGTCTGGTAATGGGATTCCAAACTGGGATCTGGTATTGGGATCTCATACTGGGATCTGGTAATGGGATCTCATACTGGGATCTGGCACTGGGATTGCAGGGATTTGGCCGTGGGATCCCATCCTGGGATCCCATCCTGGGATCTCCCATGGGAATCTTGTCTGGGGATCCCATCCAGGGACCTCAGGGGTCTCGCACAGGGATCTCTCCCATCTCCAGGGATCCCCCTCCCCTGGGGACACCGCCTGGTCCTCTGGGGGTTTCATGGCCTTATGACAGTCACCATCATCATCATCACCATCATCATCATCACCATCATCATCATCACCATCATCATCATCATCATCATCTTCATCATCGTCACCGTCATCATGATCACCATCATCATTGTCTTTGTCATCATTGTTGTCACCATCGCCCTCATCACCATCATCATCATTGTCATTGTTGTCATTGTCATAATCTTTGTCATCATCATCATCGTCATCGTCACCATCATTGTCATTGCTGTCATCTTCATCATCATCATCATTGTCAGTCATTGTCATTGTCATCGTCATTGCCATCATCATCGTCGTCACCATCATCGTCATCGTTGTCATTGTTGTCATCATCATCATCATCATCATCATCATCATCATCATCATCATCATCATCATCATCATCATCATCATCATCATCATCATCATCATCTTGGGATCCACTCTGGGATCTGCTGTTGGGGTCTGGTAATGGGATCTGGCATTGGGATCTCATACTGGGATCTGGCACCGGGATTCCAAACTGGAATCTGGAGCAGGGATCACCTGCTGGGATCTGGTGTTGGGGTCTGGTAATGGGATCTGGCATTGGGATCTCATACTGGGGTCTGGTAATGGGATCACGTGCTGGGATCTGGCACCGGGATTCCAAACTGGGATCTGGCACTGGGATCTCATACTGGGATCTGGCACCGGGATTCCAAACTGGGATCTGGAGCAGGGATCACCTGCTGGGATCTGGCACCGGGATTCCAAACTGGGATCTGACACTGGGATCCCACACAGGGATTTGGCCGTGGGATCCCATCCTGGGATCCCATCCTGGGATCTCCCATGGGAATCATCATTGTCATTCCCATCCAGGGACCTCAGGGGTCTCGCACAGGGATGTCTCCCATCTCCAGGGATCCCCCTCCCCTGGGGACACCGCCTGGTCCTCTGGGGGTTTCATGGCCTTATGACAGTCACCATCATCATCATCACCATCATCATCATCATCATCATCATCATCATCATCATCATCATCACCATCATCATCATCATCATCTTCATCATCGTCACCGTCATCATGATCACCATCATCATTGTCTTTGTCATCATTGTTGTCACCATCGCCCTCATCACCATCATCATCATTGTCATTGTTGTCATTGTCATAATCTTTGTCATCATCATCATCGTCATCGTCACCATCATTGTCATTGCTGTCATCTTCATCATCATCATCATTGTCAGTCATTGTCATTGTCATCGTCATTGCCATCATCATCGTCGTCACCATCATCGTCATCGTTGTCATTGTTGTCATCATCATCATCATCATCATCATCATCATCATTGTTGTCATTGTCATCATCTTTGTCATCATCATCATCATCATCGTCACCATCATTGTCATTGCTGTCATCTTCATCATCATCATCATTGTCAGTCGTTGTCATTGTCATCATCATCATTGCCATCATCATCGTCGTCACCATCATCGTCATCATCATCATTGTTGTCAGTCATCATCGTCATCATCGTCATCGTCTTCATCATCATCATCTTCATCATCTTCATCGTCTTCATCATCTTCCTCATCTTCATCATCTTCATCTCCATCTTCTTCATCATCTTCATCTTCTTCATCTTCATCTTCATCATCTTCATCGTCACCCTGGCCGTCGTCCCCGCTGTCCCCGCTGTCCCCCTCCAGGACCTCCTGGAGCCACTCCAGGACCTCCTCGGGCCCCGGCAGATCCTCCTCGTGCTCCATGTGCAGCCACACGCTGCTGGCCTGGGGACAGGGGACACCGGGGACACGTGGGGACACCGGGGGGTGACACTCACGCGGTCAGTGCCATTGACCACGGGGGTGACATGGGGGTGACATTGGGGTGACACCGGGTGTGGGGGACACCACGGGGGGGGTGACACCGCTGTGGTCAGTGGTGTTGACCACAGGGGTGACATTGGGGTGACACTTGGGGACACTGGAGTGACACGTGGGGGGTAACACTCATGTGGTCGGTGCCATTGACCATGGGGGTGACATGGGGGTGACACTGGGGTGACACTGGGTGACACTCACGTGGTCAGTCCCATTGACCGTGATAGGGGTGACACTGAGGTGACACTGGGGTGACACAGGGTGACACGGGTGACACTGGGGTGA